TTTTTTTTTTTTTTTTACCAGGAATTGAACTCTGGCCCTTGCGCTTGCCAGGAAAGTGCTTATTCCACTGAGCCATCTCCCTGGCCCCAACACCATCTTTTTTAGAATCATCCAACAGCGTCACTTTTGAGATGCTGTTTCTACAGGGAGTTTTGAATTGGAATTCGTCCCTAATTATGAACATGACCAGCGGATACTACTATTTCAAAAGACAGAGCCCCAGGAAACTAAAAAAGAAGTCAGTGTAGATAACAGAGAAAAAGTAATCATCCTGGGGTAGCTGGCAACCACTCCTACCCAGCGTTTGTGAGGGTGCAAAGTGGTGCACAAGTAAACTACAGGAGAAGTACTTCCTTAAAGCATTTCTAATTGCCTATGAATCAGAGGTTTAAAAAGCTTTACAAAAGATTCCAATCTCTAGCTATATATGTATTTCCATCTATCTACATGTATAAGAAGTGAAAATTTGCTTAAGTTTTCCTAGGCTTTGTGTATTTTCAGTTGCTAAATATGGAAATTCTAATTTTTGGACCAAGCTTAAAAGTTTGGTTCTGTTTCAACATTCTCTTCAAAATGAAATGCACTTTTGGTCCAGAAGAAATCCAGCCTCAATTTAACATAAATAGTATGTAAGTCAACAGAACTTTCTTTTTCAAAGGACTCGGATCTCAGCTGAAGAGCGTGGCAGTAATTGAGTAAAATTCATGTTACCATATTCAGTAATTTTTTTCTCTATTTTCAAGTTCAAACAAGAATACAATTATAGGTAAATTTGACCTGATAAATATTATCTCTGAGAACAAAGTCATGAAGATAAAATAGATAATGACACTCAGTGGTTTTGGGCCAATTTATATAAATTATTGGCATTATCCCTCCAGGGTTTTCTGCTTCACTTAATGATGTTTAAGAATTTCATATTAATTAAATGGAATGAAGAAAGCACCTGAAATATTTCTAGATTCTCTACTGAAATAACAAATCATCATATGGTCTGGTTATAGTGAATCAGTAACCTCAAGAGGCATGGGTGATGGTAGACTTAATCTGTTTCCTGTCTTAATCACTAGCAGAAAAATGATGATAAATATGTGATTGATTTTAGTCTTGATTCTGCAGCTAAATCCTCCAAGTCTTCTGAAAACCTGGCTTCCCAGTTCAACTTCTGCTCTTGTCCTAAACTTTCAGAAGGGAGTGCATTCCAATTAGACATGCAGGAGAGATCCTTGGGTGATAGAACCCCAATTGCACCTCACCTTTACGAAGCAGGTTACATCAACAAAAGCATCTTAAATTCTGAATTCCTAAACCTGACATACAATGACATGTCACTCAGCTCCCTTTAGAATGACAGAATTACAGAGGTTTCCTGGCTCTCTCTCCACTTCCTGGGCTCATCTTTGAAAGTACTGTAATAGAATAATGGCTTATTGTCAAGATACTCTAGCCACTTGCAAATAAATTCAGGCCTTCCGAATCATTTGCTTTCCCTGTGCACTTGCCAGTCTTTTAAAAGTGCAATTTTGGCATTCAGATAAAGAAAAACAAAGCCATGGTTCATGTTTACTTTTATGGTTGAAAGCCCTTAATTAAAATGTAGAAACTGAAGAGGCTTCCTAAATTATCTTCGGAAGGCAGGTAGAATCAAAACTAATGTGTAGTGATAGAGTAGTATTTTACTTTTACAATGCGTTCCGTTTTAGATGATGGTTCACATTAACACTGAAAAACTTCAACTTCTAAAAGTTTATAGCTCATGTGAATGATGATTATGGAGGTCACTTCAACTTAATCTTTATTTTCTCATTGTTAGCCCCAATTTATTTTTGTTGTTAGCTTTGTCTGTAACTTGCAAAATCAGTTTTGTAAATTTTACTTAGTATAAATGCTTGAAAAATTATTTTATTGGCCTAAACCTTTGAAAACAATGTTAAACTTGACATATTTAGATACCTTGGTGCATTGTTATAGGCAGGCCTTTTAGTTAATTTTATGAAGATTGTTCATGTATTGTTCACTCTGGAAAACTTGACA